CACTTACTGAAACAAAGCCAGCACTCCACACAACCCCACCAAGATTTATAGAAAGATGGCAGCTCTGACCACACTTTACTCACACAAACACGAAGTCGAAAACATCAGCCTGAAGATGGCGAGTGAGACCTCGCTGAACCGATGCCAAGACAATCTCAATCTTACATGGGAAAAGACCCAAATACAACAAGACTATCATACCTACACCCGTGAAAATCTACACACACACACACACACTCACACTGTATTTTTCAGAGTATAAGATGCATGTTTTCCCCTCAAAAAAGAGGCTGAAAATCTGGGTGCGCCTTACACACTGAATACAGCATTTTTTTCCCTCCTGAAACCCCGTCCCCTTCACCAAAAGGGCCGTGCATAGCTTGTAGGAGGCTTTCAGAGAGCTCCTGGGGACTGGGGGGGGGCAGAAATGTGCAAAAAATGGCCCATTTTTTTGCAAAAATGGGCCCATTTTTTTGTTTAAAAAGGGCATTAGGAAGCTTATAGAGTGCTCCGGGGGCAGGGGAAACAAAATTGAGCAAAAATGGGCCATTTTTTGCTCATTTCTGCCCTCCCCAGCCCCCAGGACCTCGCTGAAAGCCTACAAGCTATGCACGGCCATTTTGGTGAAGGGGGCGGGGTTTCAGGAGGCAAAAAATGCTGTATTCAGTGTATAAGGCGCACCCAGATTTTCAGCCTCTTTTGTGTCTTATGCTCCAAAAAATACGTTATTTGGAAAATCCCAATGAAGGAGAGAACATTTATAGCTCAGGGTTGAAATGAGAGGGTCCTTGGTGCGCTCTGAGTTTGGTTGTTTTCTTGCAGAAGTTTCATTACCCAAACTAGGTAACATCGGCAGTGCTGGCAGATGTAATAAAACATCTGCAAGGAAACAACTAAGCTCAGAGAGCACGAAAGGAGAAGTTTTATTCCGATCACATCAAACAAATTTGATTGATTCACCGATGAAAGAGTCAGTCAACGATGATCTTGTGGGATGTTGGATACCGCAGAAAGTTGACCATTAGACCACATGTGCTTAGCTCATAGCTCATATATAGCTTAGCAGAAGAACCAATCAGTGGCAGGGAAGGTATTGTAGTGACCTGTGCTATCAAAATAGCTTATTTCCTCCACCCCCCCTTTTCCCTATTCTCTAGAGCACCACCTTGAAAAGGCCAGTTATTCCCACAGAATACGGTGCCAAAGTTCCCACCAACATCCGTCAGAGGTACCTCAACCTCTTCATCGATGAATGCTCGAAGGTCTGCCCCTCCCAGCAGGCAGCATTTGACAAGGTTTGTGTGTTTTTGTAACGGTAACGATGGGAGGGATGCTTGAGCATCTTTCAATTCTTACGGTTTGCCCTTCTTTAACGGTAGGCCCAAATGAGAGAGGGATTGAATCACTTTAAAAATTTGGAAATTCACTGCGCAAACATATTTGCAAGTTCAAAGTTAGGACAGCCAACCCAATGTTGAGCTTCCTATTTGAATAGTAAGAGGATCACAGGTCTACATTTCTTACCTTATTTTTAGAAGTACTGTTCCCTGTGTTATGAATGCAAGTAGTCCTCAAGTTACGACTGCAAGCGAACCCCAAACCTCCATTGCTAAGCAAGATAGTTGTTAAGTGAATTTTGCCCCATTGTATGAAATTTCTTGCCCAGTTGTTCAGTGAATCGCTGCCGTTCTTAAGTTAATAACACAGTTGTTAAGTGAATCTGGCTTCCCCGTTGATTTTGTCAGAAGGTTACAAAAGGTGATCACATAACCCCGGGACGCTGCAACCGTCATAAATATGAGTCAATTGCCAAGTGGCTGAATTTGGACCACCTGACCATGGCCATGGTGTAATGATCTTAAGTGTGAAGAATGGTCATAAGCCACTCTCTTCAGTGCCATGGTAACTTTGAACGGTTGCTAAACGAATGGATGTAAGTCGAGGACTACTTGTAGAAACACTGTCCCTTTTCTTCCTGCTTATCCTTGTATATGAATATTTGACCATTCTCCTGGTGGCATTGGAAGCCACCTTATATATATATACATAATATATATGATATATACATAATAGTTCTCCCTAGCCTGGGAACTGCTCCTTCCTGCCTTAGCAACTTCATTTTGTATTTTAAAAACTCAAAAATGCTGATGGTGGGAATGCTGTTCACAGGCTCTTGCTGAGGAGAAGGTGGTGTATGAGCGCAGCACCAGCCGCAACATCTACCTGAATGTGGCAGTGAACACTTTGAAGAAGCTGAGGACTCTGTTGCCCAGCCCTTCTCAGGAAGTTCAGAGTATGTACTTAGACTTTACTTCTTACTTACAGACTGAAGCTTCCCTGCTACTTTACTACTTTCGTTTTATTCTTTCCTTATACTCTCAAACCTCCCATTTCTAGACACTTGGAGCTTCTTAACAAAACCCACTTCAGGTTTGCACAATAGACCGGGTAAAAAGACTGCCTACCAATCCAACAGGGCATAATTCTGTGGGCAAAACTTTCATAATACATCTCTTGGCCAGCCCCTTAACATCTGTACCAATAGAGACAGTTAGCTGGTTGCACTGTAGTATTATGCCATACCTCGGTCCCAGTCCCTGCCCACCAACTGCTGCTATTACAAAGGATATTTAGCGAAGCGGGGGATATATGATGTTAACCCTGAAATAATTATGGAACCTATTATATCACTTCTTCCTGAGCTTAATTGGTAGCATGCGGGCCTTGACTTTTAAAGCAGTCAGCGAGTGGAGACCTGTGTGGCACTTTCATTGACTCAGAAATTTTGTTTGTGGTTGACCCAGGATGTTTGCTGACGTTCTAGTTTGACATCTGCCTTTTTCTTCCAGAGTTCAGCAATAGGAAAGTGGTTTCTCACGAAGCTATGCTAGGAGGGAAACTGGCAGCCAGGACCAGTTATACACTTAATCGTTCTACAAGCTTACGGCTAGAAGATCTGACAGGTAGGTTTCTCCCTTTTTTGTCATGGTACACAGTGACCGTGGTGTCTGTGTGTGTGTGTATGTGTGTGTGTGTGTGGTGTGTGTGTGTGTGTGTGTGTAATTCTATTCCTTTCTGTCTGTTTTAAAGACCTTCAGATTGATTTTAGAAGTAGCCTGATTGTTTTTCAGCATCAGGGAACTGATAGGATCAGTGTTGAAAGCCAATTCAGAGCTATTTAAAATGATAAAGAGCACAGAAAAGCTGTGGAGGAGAATGGGCCGAGGTCACTTTTTAGAGGCTCGTTGATGCATAGTGCATGCGAATTCTGCTAAACGTGCCCCTTCAGTTTGACCCACATTTTACCCTGTAAGGCAGGGCATTTCATGATAAAAGCGCAATTATCCTGAAGTAAGTCTGTTACCCAGTTAACAAATTCCACAATCCATTGCAGAAATTGCAAATGATCTAACCTGTGTCAGTTTTGCATGTGGATAAAGCATTAGCTTTGAAGCAAAACAAGTTGCTTTTTTATCAATTACATAAACGGTTGATAGTTATTCCAGGTCTGTGTGTGTGGGGGGGGGGGGGGGGTGGTAATCCTTCAAGTTGCATGGTCCTAAGTTGTGAGTGGGATGTCTTTGCAAATGCATTTTGTCCCGTTGAGAGAGAAGAGGAGTTTAAGGGTTCCAAGTAACACCCCTAATGAAAGGAGACTCCGAGGCTTAGGTTTCCTCAAAGTTCCATTTTATTAGAGATGTCGTATTGATACATCTGGGAGAACCTGAATCTGAAAACTTCCAGGTTTTCCCCACCCAAGTGAAAGTCCAAGACCCTGGCCAGCACCCACATGTCCATCACATGGCCCAATCAAGTACTGTCCCAACTGGAGATGTCAGGAGGAGACTCAATGGCAAGGGGCAGGTTTTCCAGTCAGTTACACAACTGATAGGGCTTTCGGTTAGGACAGATAGAGGAAAAAAGACGCCATGCTAGGAGGAGACACTATGGTGGGGAAACCGGACTTCTGGTCGGCTCCAGAATTGAACGGGGGGCTTCCGGTTAGGACCTTTGTGGGTCTTTGAGGGTTTAAGGTTGCTGACTCCTGGCCTAGTCCAACTGGATTGCTCTTATAATGATCTCTAGAAAGAACAGCCTGCAGTTTCTTCTCAGCATTTCCCCCCTACTTCTCCCTCTCCCCCCGCCCCCCAGTGCTTAGATCTGCCTTTGCTTTGGTTTTATGCTGCTTCAACTGCAATCACCATTTTGTTGCTGCGTAAGCTGTCCTGAATATTTCCGTGTGTGTGTGTGAGTGAGTGTGTGTGTGTGTGGTATAGGTCTGAGAATAGCTAGAAAAAAATGGCTAGATAAACATTTCTTAACCATTGTCATTCAGGTGCTACCTTGTACCGAAGGCTCAAAGAGTATGTGCTGACAGAGGATGACTTGAAGGAGCATGGCTACCCATTACCTTGTCCCGAGAGACCTGGACGGGCTGTTGTCTTTGCTGCCGAAGAGAAGAAATTGGCTGATGGTGAGTTCCGCTGGACTGGATAATTTCTGACTCTTGAGAACCATTCAGACGTTCTGTTTAATGGGGTGGGGGAAGGGGGGGAGGCCAGGAAAGGAACCCCCTCAGCTAGTTTATTCCCTTCAAGACAGACATCTACCCTGACTGCTTTGGATGGGGATTCTTTAGTGAACTTTTAAACGTATTGTGAAGTTTCTGACCAATGCAGGGATCTCCAACCGTGGCAACTTTAAGCCTTGGCGGACTTCAACTCCCAGAATTCCCTAGCCAGCTTTGCTTCTGGGAATTGAAGTCTGCCAGGCTTAAGTTGCCAAGGTTGGAGACCCTGGACTAATGAACCCAAGCAAATCAGTTGACACATATTTTGAAGCTACCCATTGTAGATGATATTATTGTTGTTATTATTTTCATGTAGGCCTCTCTTCCTGGGCTAACCCTGGGTATATTTTAATCCTTTGTCATTTGTGACTTGTATAACAGCAGGCAGGTCATATATAAATAGGTTCATGCAGAACTCTGTATCTGCTGTCTGGGATGAGCAGTGTGTTCCCCTTTGCACCAATTTTGATTGAAAAATGCAGAGTAATGCCACTGAGGAACATGTTGTGGTGTCCATTGTGATCCCCTGGATCCTTGTCTCGAGTGTTGTGTGTACAGGCAAATCCTCTGGACCAGGGATCAGCAATCTTAAACACTCAAAAAACTCACAAAAACTCCTAATTGAACACCACCACCACCACCCGTTCAATTCTGGAGCCGACCGGAAGTCCGGTTCCCCCACCATAGTGTCTCTTCCTAGCACGTGGTCCTTTTTCCTCTGCCGACCGGAAGTCTAGTTCCCCCACCATAGAGTCTCCTCCTAGCACGGCGTCCTTTTTCCTTTACTTGTCCTAACCAAAAGCCCTAACCCTATCAATTATGGAGCCAACTGGTGACAGGGAGCCGCAGGAGAGGAATGAAAGAGCCACATGCAGCTCCAGAGCCGTGGGTTGCTGACCTCTGCCCTGGACTTAATGAGGAGTATGGTGGTTGGAATACATAGGAGGGAAAAGGCAGGAGGAGATTACAGAAGGCCTTCCCATTTGTAAGTTTGCTTCCCTGGCTAGGCTTCAAGGTGTTCAGACTAGTCATGCAATTCTTCTCTTAAATTGCTAAGCAACTCCAGAGGTGCAGTCAAAGGAACGACAAGAAGTCCTCAACTTACAACCATAACTGAGCCTAGAATTACGGTTGTAAGTTGTTGTAGTCAGAAATCAAAATTATTGTGTAACCACTGGATTCAATATTTTTGTACAGGTAGTCCTTGGCTTATGAACATAATTGAACCCAAAATTTCTGTTGCTAAGTAAGACATTTGTTAACTGCATTTTGCCCCATTTTATAACCTTTCTTGCTACAGTTGTTAAGTGAATCACTGCAGTTGTTAAGTTAATAACATGGTTGTTAAGGGAATCTGGCTTCCCCATTGACTTTATTTATCAGAAGATCTCAAAAGATGATCATGTAACTCTGGGACACTTCAACCATCAGAAGTACATGCTAGTTGTCAAGTGGTCAGATTTTGATCACATGACCGAGGGGATGCTGCAACAGTCAAAAGTGTGAAAACTGGTCACAAGTCACTTTTTCCAGTGCCATAGTACCGTATTTTTCGAACTATAAGATGCATCAGTAATTTTAAAAAGTTTTTGTCCTCCCTGGCTCCCAGGAGCACTCTGCAGGCTTCAGCAGGGCTGGAGGAAGGCAAAAAGGCTCCCGTTTTTGTGAAAACTGACCCATTTTTTGCCCATTTTTCACAAAAATGGGATGCAGGGGCTTCGGGAGGCCAAAAATGGCTGTATTCAGTGTATAAGACTCACCAGCATTTCTGCGCTCTTTTAAGGGGGAAAAAGTGTCTTATACTCCAAAAAGTACGGTAACTTTGAACGATCACTAAATGAACGGTTGGAAGTCGAGACCTACGTGTATAGTTTCTGCTGTGGCCATTAAAAGAATGCTATGGTCATTAAGTGAATGCTACAGTCAAATCGATTTCCCCCAATGAGTGTTTTCCCCCCAGAAACCAACAAAAATATCACAAATCACAGTTGCTGTAAATAGTCATATAGGGGAGCACCCAAAATGCAGTCATGTGAACATAGGGATGGGTACAGCTGCTCTACTGGTCATAAATAGCTTTGGGGGAGTCCGTTGTAACTTTGAGCAATTGTTAAGCCATAGGTGCCTGTAGTGAAGAAGAGATGGGTGATCTATGGTGCCCTTTGTCCGAGGTAGTGGTGTGTCTTTCTGTCTGTTTAACAATAATAAATGCTACCTCAAAGTCCAGTAGTATGTGATTCACTCTGATACATGATAATTAAACTAAGTTGCTAATTGATTGAATATGACAATGGAAAGACAACTAAGTATAGGTTAAAATATACGTAATATGGATGCATATAAAATTTTTAAGAAGAGGAACAAAGTGAGGTGTGTACTGCTTGTTATTCAACATAGTAGATTCAGGGAATTGTAATGAACTTTGAACAGCAAGGATTTAAAGACAATTAAAGGTAAGCTAAGTCAAGATATGGAAAAATGGAAGGGGAACATGAAACATACTTATAATGGAAAATGTTTGAGATTACAAAGACAGAACTAAAAATTTTGGGCATGTAATGATGTATAATTATATAATATTATGACGAGAATAACTGGGAATTGTAACCAGGTCCACATTCTGACCAAAAATAGGTTTGGGGGGAGTGTTTAAAAATATAATTGCTATATATGTATACTTTTTTTTTCTTTAAAAAAAAAAAAAGAAGGATATATGTTAAAACTAAAGATGTTTATCGAAATGAAATTATAAATACCATCAACATAAAATGGAGCTTGCTCAGAAGCTGAAATACACCAAGTAAATGAGATGAAGAGTGTGGAGTAGAGGAGAGAGGCAAGGGAAGAAGAGAGGGAAAGGGGAGAGGGTGAGGGAGGGGAGAGAAGGAGAGAAAGAAGGAGTGGAAAGGAGAGAGAGGAGAGGGGAAGGGGAAGTAGAGAAGAGAAAGATGACAGAGAGAAGAAAAGG